CGCCACCCATTGGCATGTGGAAGTAAGGCCTGTGGGTCTGCTTGCATACCATCACCACTGAAAACCCTTTGGACTACAGTTTTTGACTGAAGCATGTAGGCTTGCCAGGAATCAAAAGCAACTCAACCACTGTCTTTAAAACAGCCTTCACTTCTGTAACAAAGGGAGAATTTAAGATGACATAGTCTTGGACCATTGTCATACCACCTAGATGTTATCTGAGTTGTATCGAAACTGAAATGTAATGTCCACCAGGAAACCCTCTGTTTACAGATATTCTTATGCTATGGTATATATCACATATAGCGTATGAAATTTTTCAATAGTATTGTTAATAGCAAGTTGTATACATTTGACTCAGAAGTACAGATAAAAGGCATACTCTCATTAGTAACTTTAAAAACCATAGAAGTTCTTCAAAGTATGCATTTTAATATACTAGCTGAAATACAGTGCTAATAAATTTTAAATTGTAATCATTGTATAGCAAATACGTGTTATTGCTTCATGTCCTCTTCACTTTCAGCATGCAAGCTCATGCCATCTGCATGTTGCAGGTTGTTAACAATACCACAAGAATCAAAGAAAATAGCCTTCTGTGATATTCAGGTTGTGTGTCAACTTGATTGAACCCAAATTCTCAGTTGTTGACTTTATGATAATTGGCTTTGAGCAGCCAGTTAATTGAAAAAAACTTGGGATGTGACTTGCTTCCAACATAATAGACATGCGGGAGAGTTTCTCTTCCCTAATGGGTCTGGATCTCTTATCTGGGTTGTCCTTCAACCTCCGGTTCTTTGAACCTGAGCCAGTGTGCTTGCCCGCTGGGCCTGCCATCAAGTGTGCCGGGAAAATCAGACACCCACCATAGGACCCTGCATGCCTTTTCTTTTCACCCTGGTTCATGTGCTCTGTGCCATCGATTCTGCAACATGGCTGCCCAGATCATGTTAGACTGTCACCCTGCTGCCTTCCCTGCTCCAGCACCAAGGTCCTGCTCTGTGTCCTGGCTTGGAATTCCGGCCTTCTGGAGCACTTAGGACTCTCCTGTCTGTAGAATCTTGATCTAATTCCTTGATCTAAACATCTCTTTATATATATATATAAACAAACATATATATAGGGAGTCCTGGTATGGCACTGTGGGTTAATGCGCCAAACTGCAAAGCCATTTGGACTTCGAGGTCAGCAGTTCAAGCTCACCAGCTGCTCCTCAGAAACCCTATACAGGGTCACTATGGGTTGGAAC